TGATGGATGGATGGATGGATGGATGGATGGACAAATGGGTGGCTGGATGGATAGATGGATGGGTGGACGAATGGGTGGATGGATGGATGGATCCTGTACAATGAGATCAATATTGAAGGGATAAGGACAGTTCACCCAAAAAAAAAAAAAAAAATCGTTAGTGTTTCGAACAAGAAAGCAAGCCTTAAAAGTCTGGAAAAATAAGTGCCGTAAGCAAATGTTTGTGTATTTGAGCAGCATATATAGAGAGAACTTACAGCAAAGCCTGTGATTCTCTTTGGTCACATAAATTATAATCACAACAAGCATATAGTATAAAATATAACAAAACAACAACAAAAATCCATATCATACATGACCCCACATTTGTCCCATATGAATCTGTATCATAAATAAAAGAGCAAAACTCAGCCCTTCGGTTTTCATGACGGCCCTGATGAGTGAGCTTTCCTTAAATACCATTAAGGTCGCACACGTTCGCCTCTCCTCCTGTGTCCGCTCTTATTTATCAAAGCTACAGCGTCGATCTTAATGGCCGGTGTCCGTTTGGCCCTCGCTCTCGGACATGCCCTTTCAGTGACCAGGGCCCAAGCCGCTACTTTTAGGTCCGAATGGCCTTGGTAAATCAGTCTGTCGCTCTCCGTCCTGTTTTATTTGTCCTTTTTATCCCTCTCTCCTGGCAGATGTGGGGCCTGGGGGTGGCTGGTTATTTATCACCGCTACCTCTGGAGCCGGAGGTATACGATGGAGGATGGGACTGCCATACATAAGTAGACCGCTGTGACAAAGTCAGTCTGGAGTGAGACAAGTGGGCCATCTATCGCAGTAAAACAAAGATCCCCGTGTTCCTCCATAGTCTTAAAGAGGCCGTATTAATCAGAGAGAGCTCTGAGGACTGATATAACATCTTTAAGACAAAGACACAGAGGTTTAACGTGTTCGAGACTGGCCTCTGTTTGAGAGAATATTACAATGACCTGATTCAATTTGGATTTCATCACTCATTAAAAAAAAGTACTATGGTAAAAACATGGAATGGTATCATTCAATGGTATTTACTTCAATGAACACCATAGCATGTCCAAAAATACATGACTTTTTGGTTAAAAGGCTCTTCAAACTCTTAATTTTCTTCTCTTTTTTCCACGGCCTTCATCATTTATTACAGTAAACTATTAACACGATCGACAAACTAAAACAGTAATGGTTAATTTAAATGTTTTACAGTACATTTTGCATTAAATACCGTTTAGTATCACTTTTAAAAGCGAGCATTTGAGCTTATAAAACTTAAACTTTGTCTTTTTTTTTTAAATGAGCGATCGTTTCGCTAGATAAGACCCTTATTCATCGTCTGGAATCGTTTAAAGCCCTTTGAACAGTTTGTAGTTTGCACTGAAACTGTCTTTTGGACCTTGAACCGTTTGGTTCCCATTGAAGTCCATTATATGGAGAAAAATCCTGGAATGTTTTCATCAAAAACCTTAATTTCTTTTCCACTGAAGAAAGAATGACATGGACATCTTGGATGACATGAGTAAATTATCAGCAAATTTTTTATTTTATTTTTTTTGGTAATATTTAAGCTAGTCGACTCCATTTTGGTACTGTACTGTTATTTGAAACATAATTTATCATTAAATGTATATAAAATTTAACGAGTGCAACCTTAGCCAACTTATGCAAAATCAGTTTGCAGAAAGCATCAAACTTATTTATTCATAAATATGCAAATAATGATTACTTTGCAAATGTAAGTGGTTGCAAAATTTCCAATACACTGTAAGCTCGATTGATCAATACCAAATCGCATGTTCCTCGGTGTCCACTAGAGGCCGCCGGTAATTACGGTCCGTCCTGTCAGCGTTTACAACCCGTCCTCTTGAAAAACGGGCCCACCTGACATCTGGCGAATGACAGTCGGGAGGAAACGAATTTATGGGAGTGTTGTGGCGATGACAGGCCAGGTGATATAGGAGCAGTGAGGAGATGGATTGGATTCTTCCCTAGTGTTTGGAGGAGAGGAGGATCTACTAACAGCTGGCCAGTCACTTATAAAGCTGTTTATGGTGAGCGGGACAAATGCCAACACAGACCACCACTATACAAAATCATTAATTACACAGGCGCAAACCCTCACACCAGAGGATACATCTGTCCATGACGAGTGGCCACACACACACTTTTCCAGAAAGTGATCTGTTTATATAAAGCAACCCAGGATTTCCCAAACGCCCCTCGGGACCGCAAAAGAAATGCCAATGGTGAAATTATTTAAATAAAACTAAAAAAAATTGTTTATATTATTTTATTATTCATTGTTGTTATTGGTTAAGTGCAATGCAGCCTATCTCGACAAAAGAGGAAATCACTGCAGATAGATAGATAGATAGATAGATAGATAGATAGATAGATAGATAGATAGATAGATAGATAGATAGATAGATAGATAGATAGATAGATAGATAGATAGATAGATAGATAGATAGATAGATAGATAGATAGATTTGTACCCTTTGTCAACTTCAGCTCCGTTCCAGCAGGCCAGTCCGTCTCCAGAGCCCAGATCGCTCACACACAGCAGGTCCGCCAGGCCACCGTAGAACGTGCGGTACAGACGCAGGCTGCTGAGGAAGTCTCTGGAGACACAGAGATGAGTTTATTTCATTGTCTGTCCAGTAGATGGCAGACTAACACAGGCGTTTAATGTTCTGCTTCAAGAGAGACAACAATCCAGTGAGCAATTCTAATGCAGTGTCTATCAACAACACTAAACAAATCAATTCACTGTCTTAGACCTATATTTTCATTTATATTTTGAATATCATGTATCCCCTTGGTATACAAAATATACCAAGTTATTTATGTTAAATAATAGTTACCATTATACAAATTATTATACATGAAATATTATATTATATAATAACATATATAATATAACTATAAATTATACATGTATAAAGACCTATTTATACTGTACTTATTTTATTTTAAAAATATGTATTCCTTAAACATTAATGTTATTATTCAGACTTTTCTTATCAAAATATTGCACAGAATATTAATTATTTTAAATATTATATTAATATATAAAGTATTTTTATACATTATATATGAACAAAGTCCAAATTATATTGTATTTATTTTATAAATTATATTTTTCTCTGGGTTTAAAAAAACTAATTGCATAAATTTTATATATATATATATATAATATGGATATATATATATATATATATATATATTAAAACATGTTTTCAAAAATACTACTATACACAATAATAATTAATCAAAAAATATATATTATTATAAAATATGATTATTCATCATCCATGTACAAAGCCCAATTTATGTATATGGTAAGATATATCTATATTTATACAGGAGATTAATGGTATTAAGATGTGTTTGGAAATTGTAAAAAAAAAAAAAAAAAAAAAAAAAAAAAAAAAAACATGTTAATGTTAAAGTTTTTTTCAAAATATTGCACAAAATATTAATTATTTAAAATATTATATTCATATATAAAGTTTTTTTTTTTTTTACATTATATATGTATAGAGACCAATTCTATTGTATTTATTTTATAAAATATATTTTTCTCTGGGTTTAAAAAACAAATTATGATATATATATAAATCTGTATATTAAAACATGTTTTCAAAAATACTACTATACAAAATAATAATTAATCAAAAAATATATTATTATATTATAATGATATATTATTATAAAATATCATTAGTCATCATGTATGCACAAAGTCCAATTTATATGGTGTGATATATTTATGGTAGACTAATAGTATTAAGATGTTTTTGGAAATACTTTGTAGTATTCGATTGACTATGTCCGTTTGCTTTGACTGTGCATGAGTGTATAGAGTGTGTTGATGAGGTGCCAGACTCACTTCCTCCAGTTGCTGAGTGTGTTCTCTGAGTTTCTGGCCGCTGCTTTCAGAGGAATGGAGTCTCTGTTGTGCTGAACGCGGCTGACCTGCTCCGTCTGTCTGCTGGGGTGACCACACACATCATGCACCTGCAGAGGTCACACACACACCATCACGGTTACTAACATATCCACCGGTGTGTCCATTATAGGTCTTTAACCATGGCTAAAGCTCAGAGCTGGTGACAGTCTGCAGGTCAGTGTTGATGAGTGTGTAGAATCATGATCAGCCACTAGGTGATGCCGTTTTTTAACAGGCCCCTGAAAGACGGTTTCTCTAATGACGACTGTAAAAGAGAGCATTTCTTTCTACAGGACTTTGGATTTTGAAAAGGACAAGCGTGACTCAGTCAGTCTGTAGTCTGGGCATCAGATGGCACACTCATCAATTGTTCACAGATTCACAGTCTGGTTGTCAGATCTGTATTCTGCCTCTTCTGATGCCAAGCTGCAAACTACCAGATCCGATCCGACGGTCTACAGTTTTCAGGAGACGAGGTGTGCAGAAAGTTGTGTTTACAGAATGCAGCTCATTCAGAGTCAAAAATGTATTAAATTAAATTGTATAATAAATAATAAATGTCTTTGTATATAATTATAAATGCATTATATATGCAAATACCAATTTATACTGTATTTATTTTATAAAAATAACGAGTAGATTAAAAAAATATGACTCACTTTAAATATTACAATATTAATTCATTATATATAACTATTATTAATTAAAAATTAACATTTAAAAAATGTTTACATGTCATGTGAATTGTGAATCATGTGAAAAATTTTCAGATTTATGCCGGATTTTTTTTTTTTTTTTTACACATGAAGAAAATATTACAATACTAAATTATATATAACGATTTTTTGAATGTATATATATATATATATATATATATATATATATGAAGAGTTCAGATGCAAAAGCCTCTAAGTGCCATTTGAAATTTTCTTCTAGAATGATAATTTTTATCAAGCTTGTATATTTAAGTTCAGTGATTTCACTTAAATGGCAATGATAATTACCTATTAACTGTTATTTAAGTGAAATTACTGAACTTAAATATACAAGCTTGATAAAAATCATCATTAAAGAAGAAAATTTCAAATGGCATTTAGAGGCTTTTGCATCTGAACTCTTCATATATATACACAAAATCACAAAGTCACAAAATCTTACTCTACTGAGATGAAGGGAACCTTTTTTTTGTTAAGCAAAGGTCAATTGGGGTCGTATAGACTCCGTGAACCGATTGAGGGCTATACAGCATCATATTTGCATTCAAAATGTCATTATTGAGTGAAAGACCATGACAGTTCATAAACATGCATAAACCCTACTTCATATTCAATACATATGTCATGTCATGATTATGAAGGTGTCATGTCAGTCGAATGAGATGAATAACTTTTCATTTCTCACATATTTAGCCATGTGGTAATACATAAAACATGTCTTTAATTGAATTTCCAGCAAAAATAACTAAATTATGGTATGTAGGCATATGTAATTACTCGGACAGTATGACCAAAATATTATATCACAGTAAAACACAATGTAAGACTAATTGTGTTTTATGAAGATCCTCATTCCTCCAGAACTATGCTTCAGACTTAAATGAACCAGGTCATATCGAGTGTTTTTATTGGTCTAGCCCCTCACTGACCCAAACCAATGACAACACAGTATTAGAGACTTGGTTCTGATCCACACCCTGACCCCTGCAGATCAAGTGACACCCAATAGCTGACAAAGTCATGCGGTTTAAAGGCTTATTTCTACTTGCAGACACACACACTGTCTGCAAACATTACAACACGATCTGAAAACATGCGTACTGGATCCCACAGAAGCCCACTATGGTTTCTGGCTAACTCAATTTGCATGTGTCCAGAACACATGAGCGCGGTCGGCCGAGTCTCGCCAGCTGCCCACACCGAGGGTATTTTGAGAACGCTCTGGGCTCGCTGGCAGCATCATGGCATGTGTGTGTGTGTGAGCAACTGATGTCCAGGCCGTACCGCATTCCACGCCGTCCGAGCTGTAGTTACACCACGGCTTTTAACACACTGCTTGAGGCATGAAAATTGCAGGAATGCAAAGGCCAGTGTTTAGGTTTAGTTTTTACCTAATTGTGAATGCAAGTTATTTAGACGAGCCACAGCCATAAAAGTAAATGAACATTGAGTCTTCAGGACTACATTAAATAGAGGGAATGCATTGACGTCACTTTCAACCCCCCTCTCAACCTGAGTGAGTGGCAAAAGATCTGCAGCGTTACTGGATTTAATAGGGGAAACTGACAAAATGCGACTAAAACTAACAATTTTATCAATTTAAACTAAATGTTGGACTCAATATAGTGTTCCTACTAAAGATCCAGTGATCCATGGATATTGACATGCAGCCAGGAATCGTGTTGCCTGACATTTATGTTTGCCTGATTTCGACACCGGGGAAATAAAAGCAATACAGACCTAAACATAAAGCAAATTTGCCTGTGAACGCTTTATATAAATACAATATAGGTAGGTCTAAATCACTTATATCAGTGTTATATATAGCCTATATATCATCATATCGTCCAGTTTTTGCTCAGTGTTTATTAAAAAACATCCAATAATGCAGAATATGCAATGATAAATATTTAATTGATGAGTTGTTAATATATATAACAATACAAAATATATGGGAATGGTTTTACAGCTAAATTCAGCATATTGACACAAATTGATAACTGCAAATCCAGCTTTCGCTGACTGGAGTCCAGTTGTTTTGATCCATTTGCTCCTCTTTCTATAGCAGTCTGTAAAAATATACCTCCGATTTTTTGTCAAATCTAGTTGTACAGTCAATCGCAAAGCTCTTTCCCACTTTATATGTGTTGTGTTTGTTTTTCGCGGCATTCACGCTGAACACATATACAGCCGCTCAGTGTTTTTGCCACTCACTGTGAGAAACTGCAGGCCGACGGTGACGTCACGCGCATACCCTCTAAACAAAATCTTACATGTCTCATGCTGCCATCAAGTCGCTGTATATCGAGTCGTTATATTTTTCTGTGAAAAACTAAAAAAATATAACTGCCAAATGCATCAATTTATTCCAGCCAAAATTAATAGGGTTTTTTCTGATGACTTTATGTATTTTTCTTGAACGTTGGGTACGTTTATGCCCTGTTCTCATATATATATATATATATATATACACATTTTATGAAGAACATGTCAAACTACACTTTTTATCATTTTTATACGATACTTTTCAGTTGAATTATAAATAGATTTAATAAATTTACTCTTGTCCCAAAAACATTTAACTTATGAAATATATATTTTAAGAATATAAATGATAAGATCTTTAAAATTAAGATGATCAAAACAAAGGTGAAAGATTAAATAATAATTTACATCATCTTATGTTATGTTTGTCCTCCAAAAGATTCCCTTTATCTCAGTGGAAAGATTTTGTGACTTTTCATACATTATCTGTCTATACACACAAAACTGGGCTTGATTCGGTTGTTCTGAAGATATGTAAAAAAAATTTTTTACACTTCTGGTCATCGGGGTCAATATGACCCCACATGGAAATGAATGGGAAATGTGAAAAAAAAAAAAAAAAAAACTAAATCAATTTTCTTCATGTCAAAAAAATAATAATAATCCATAAATCTGAAAATTTATACACAGAAATGAAGGCCTAGTACTAGAGCATAAATGCAAAGTATCATAAAAAAAAATAATTGTGTGGTATATGGATAGAAATTATACATTATTTGTATGATTAAAAATGTATATTTTTTGTACAATTACTCAACCAATTGTTGGGGTCGTATAGACCCCGAAGCCCAGAAGTGTAAACAGGAAACGAAGACCATATACAGTAAATATATTTGAATATAAAAACACAGCCCTAACAGGAGAGAATAGTGTTTGCAACAGGCAAGGTCATGGGTTCGAACTGCATGAACTGATTAAAAAGCACACTTTAGATAAAAGCATCTAAAGAGAAAATGTAAATAAGACTTCTTTGCATCAAAGAATATATCTACCGTATTTTCCGGACTATAAGTCGCACTTTTTTTCATACCTTGGCTGGTCCTGCGACTTATAGTCAGGTCAGGTGCGACTTATATATCAAAATTACCATGATTTACTCGTCACAGGATCGCTTACGGCCCCAGATTATTATTTGCGAGTTTTTGATGTATTTGTGGTATGACGTGAATGCATCATTTGCCGAAATTGGGGGTGACATTACCGTCTACAGCCACGAGAGAGCGCTCTATGCGCTCTAGACTACAGCTACGGTAGTTTTACAACTGAAAAAAATAACTGAAAACAACTGATATTAACTGAAATATTAGACTGAACGCAAACAAAACATGGACTGCAGTGACAACCGAAACCATCCTGTCGGGATTCAGAAAGGCTGGAATAACCGGAACTGATGCCGAGTCTGACGACGGTAAATACGGTAAATAAGTCCGGAAAATATGGTAAATGACGACAGCTGATGCTTTTATCCGATATATTTGACTCATTTGCTCAAGATCAGTAGTGGCGTCTTATGCATGATCACTTCAGATCCTAAAACCTGCTGATTACCCAAGTACCTTAGCAGAAAGCCGGGGTCCGTTCCTCTGTGCGTGGGCCACTGCGTCCCTCACCAGCCCGTGGACTCCCAGAAGCACTTGCTCCAGGTCTTGTGCCCCGTGCATGCGGGTGGAGAGGGTCTCTAGCGACCGCACAAACTCCCTCCAGTGGGCGTCCACTTCAGCCAGGCTGGCGAGACACCCTCGCACCACGTTGAGGCAGTAACCCATGCAGGGCTTGCTGGCGGTCAGACCCTGGCAGTGCGGACAGTAGCTCATCCTCAGAAGGCCACGTCTGCACTCGCGGCTGAGCTGAATGTGGTCGGTGGTGTTGATGACCTCGATGCCCAGGTGAAGCGCCTGCAGAAACAGCCGTCCCGGCAGAGAGGCGCGGGAGATGTAAGTGGCGAGCCGGCCCGGGGCGGCACCGTACGGCACCAGATCCCGACACGCGCCGCGGACACACTCGGCGTACGCCGGAGACAAGCGGGACAGACCCGGCTCGACCAGTCGCTCGTAAACCAGAGGGAACAGGGCGTCGAAAAAGCGCTGTGAAGCTTCTTCCAGGCTGAGCTCGGAGCCCAACACGAACAGCCCCACATCCGTGAAGAACTCCCCCACGGGCGCCGCCGCGGCACCGGCCAGGTCCCGGTACGTGTGGAGGAGGACGGTGTGAGTGTGGTTCTCCGCCTGACGCACCAGGGAGTCCACGGTTTCTGGAAGAAAGACAAAGAAACGACGGTTCAATGGAAAAACTAAATATTTTGTTGTTCTTTGGAAAAGCATGATGAATATTTTCAACGTCAAATTTCTGAAGGATCACGTGACACTGGAGTAATGATGCTTTGATCACAGGAATAAATGACATTTTAAACGATATTACAACCGATATATCGGCATATTATCGGCCGATATTAGGCATTTTCTAAAATATCGGTATCGGCAGTTATAATGGCCGATAAATGGATATTTCAAAAATAAAATAAAAACAAACAAATCACGCTTCAACCTTGTCATAAGTGTTGGAGTTGTATAGTTTGTCCACCAGAGGGCACTCTACACCGTCCCTGTTGGCAACACTCGTGTATAACGTGCCACACATTCTGAACACTTAGACATAGAGAAAAAGTATCGAACGTATCTTGTGCATAAACGTTAGCTTTTTTTTTACACGTGTGTGAAATCCAACGAGGCCAAGTGTGTGTTGCAGACTGTCGTTCTGTAATGGATTTAGATTAGAATCGCTAAATAGTAGGTTTTAGGCAGGTGATTGAAAATGTTTTGATGTAGCTTGATGGAAAGAATTTAAAAAGTGCAGGTAAAGGGATAAGCAAGCTGACATTGCAATTATAAGGTAGCATATAAGGCAATGTAGGGACTAATTATTATTTTATTTATCAGAACTTTAATATATTTTGATGTTCCTCTGTTCTGTTGTGACAATAGAAACAAGTTTATTTTTAAAATGCATTATCATATTATTTTAGTTCAAACTCATACATAACTACAAATAACTAATGTTAGGGAAATCTGTTAATGTTTTGTTGCTAAAAAAATAATAATAATATCGGCCGATATATCGGATTTTAAAACCAACAAATATTTGTATCGGTATCGGCCTTCAAAATGCTTTATCGGTCGGGCTCTAATTACAATATTTCAAAATATTACTGTTTTGTTCATCAAATAAGACTTTTTTTTGCACAGTAACATTTGCATAAACATGTCAAAAAATGCAATATTCTCTGTGGTTCACGGTATGAGTATATAAATCCAACAACACCACAGAAACGAGTCCCAGACCCTTTGAAAGCAGCGGAGGAGAGAATGCCACTTCCTGCAGGCGAGACCAATATGAAATGCCTTTTCATCTGTGTGCAAAGAGATCTAAAGAGATTCCTCGGTCCAGAGAGAGAGAAATGAAAAAGGGGATAACAAGACGGAGAGAGCTTGAAGATACAAGGGTGCAATGATGCCTTGAAGCGCTCCTCATATATCTGCGTTTAAAGAGCTTACAGCACATCCAGAGATCATCTGCCTTTTTATTATTCTCTATTATGTCTGTTTATGATGCCCAAAATCATCTTTGTGCACATTCCCCAAACACTCAGTGCTAATTCGTATGCATTTATATGATGTGCAAACAACAGTATCTCAGAGAGCATTATGTCGGAGCAATGACTCGACTGTTGTAGTTTTAATGGCCTTTGGTTTTATTATGTTTTCTGTTTCTTGTAGAAGATGAGTGTGACTTGAGGATATGATAAGCGATATATTTTTGTGAATATATACCGAGTAATTTGAATTTGAATGCAAAACTTTTATAATGCGTTCTACAAAAAAGGACGAGGAACACGGAGAGAGAGGAAGATATATATATATATATATATATATAGTGTGTATAATATACAGTATAAACAATTATAAAAAAATGACATTATACATTTATACATGTACAAATTGTATACAAAAGGGAAAAAAAATGTTTTGTTTAATATATAAAAAAGCATGTTTTAAAGAAACTAAATATAACTTGCATTCAAATATTTAGATATAAATGTAAATATATATTTGGCATAATTGTATTTAATTTATTTTATACATTTAATTTTAAAGGTGGTAAATTTTAGTGTTGGTAACACTATACTTAAAGCCTTTATGCATTATAAAGGTATTCAAAATGAACATGTTAATGGATATATATATATATATATATATATATATATATATAGCAACCAAAGTTAAAATGCATTATAATATTTACCAGTTTACTTGTTACATCTGTTTTTGGTTTATTGTCATTGTGTTTTTATGCATTATAATTTCTAAAGGCGCAACATAATGTATTATAACTGTATTACAATAACCCATGAGATTTCAAGAAATAATTAATGCATTAAAATACTTTAATAAAGTGTAACCACAATGTTCATCTACTGTTTGATTTGAATGATATTTAAATGAATAATTAAATAAACTTTTCATTAAATTAAAAGGGTGATGATGGTCATTCTTTTTTCGCATCCCTGCCAGTAACTCGATGAATCCAATATTTCCTTTGGCACTTGATGAGTGTTAATGTTGGTCCACCGATTGTTGCTTTGCACAAATTACATTGCTGGCATGCTCTCTATGGCGGGAATCTTTTGAAATAATAAGTGTCTGACTACAGCTTTGGATGTGTGTGGGTAAGATGTGTCAGGGTGACTGGGGCCGAATCAAGCAGAAGGGTGAGACGTTGCTCTAAAACTGTTGTACAGAGAGCCGAGTACATCATGTGCCTGTCATGGGTTGTGTTGTGGTGTGTAAGAGTGTGTAAAGAAAGAGAAGGATAGATCTGAAGGGGTGAAACACTGCTTTTTAGATGGTAGTGCCTCGAGTATATCATAAGCAATACATATATACTGTATATACATACAGTACTGATTCATGTATATTTTAAATCTAAACCTTACTCAAATGACCCAGCCTAAAAAATACAAAATAATAGTAAACATTTAATTCTGAAATATGTTTTCCAAAAGTTTGAGGTCAGTAAGGTTTTAATTTAAAAACAAATGAGTACTATTATACAGCAAGTATGCATTTAATTGATCAAACATGACAGTAAATGCTGATAATTTGATAATGTTACAATATATATATATATATATATATATATATATGTGTGTGTGTGTATATATTTATATATTTTTTTTAAAAATAAATGCAGTTCTTTTGAATTTATGAAAGAAAAAAATGTTTCTTAAGCAGCAAATCAGCATATTGATTTCTGAAGGATCATGTAACACTGAAGACTGGAGTAATGATGCTGAAAATTCAGCTTTTATCACGAGATATAAATTACATTTTATAATATATTCACATAGAAAGCAGTTGTTTTTAATTATAAAAATATTTCACAATTTTTTCTGTTTTGAATGTCCAAATAAATGCTTATTTATTAAGCTAATTTATTAATTAGTCTTGGTGAGCAAAGGAGACGTCTTTAAAAATGTATCAAATTCATGCTACAATCTTTGAATCGCAATACTATTATTCTATAAATTAAACAAATGCATCTCCATCCCTGAAAACCTCCAGTACAAACAGAGACCTGATGTAATTTTACCTAGCAATCCACAAGCACCCTTCAGCACTAGAGAGGTACTCGATCCCCTCGCTTAGTGGAAGAATTACCAGCGGCATCATGAGAAACACAGGTCAACAGATTCTCAAAGCACTAGTATCTCTTCAAGCTCTTGCAGTGGCGAGGACAAAAAGAGCACAAATCTGTAGGTGTCACGCAGGGAATTGTGTGAGAGGATTAGTCGCATTCGATACTGAGGGTTTCACAGGGATTAGAAACAGCTGATATGGGCTGGATGGGGGTCAGCGTAGATGTTTACCAAAGAGCGTTAATGAATCCTTTTACTAGACCGCAGAAAGACAGTATGTCTGAGCATGTGTGTGTGTATAAAGATTGAAGTCTTTAGGAGTTAACGGGAAGATTAGTGAATTCCCTGACAGGAGGTGAGAGTAGAGCCCATTATATGTGCCGTGGCTATTTGTCTCATTTAGTGGCTCATTACGCGCCGTAGTCAAGGAGAACCGAACTCGCAGGACACGGTGAGTGGCTATTTCCAAGTAATTCACTGCGCTCGTGGTTAATCCAGAGTCAAAACCTCAGGCGACCACCCTTACAAAGGTACCACAGTTTCCCACACTCTCTGGGAGTGTTTTTATGGGTTTCAGGTCATTGGTGGCATTCCCAGTCACATATGAGTTCCCTTATTCTAGACATTTGTTCATTCATTCAGTCATGAATTAAGAAACAAAAAAGTTTCTCCATTCCATGAAAATAATTTATTTTACAATTCCAGGTTATAGTTTGTGAAGGTTTTAAACAGGTTTTTGCAAACCAATATATACTACATTCATTTGGATCTACACAGACATACATACATACATACAGACACATACAGACACATACAGACAGACAGACAGACAGACAGACAGACAGACAGACAGACAGACAGACAGACAGACAGACAGATAGATAGATAGATAGATAGATAGATAGATAGATAGATAGATAGATAGATAGATAGATAGATAGATAGATAGATAGATAGATAGATAGATAGATAGATAATGTCAGATACCTTTAATTCCCTTAAGTATACAGTAAAGTATTAGTGAATGGATGGATGACTAAAGTGATTGATGGATGGATGACTAAAGTGATGGATGGATGGATGGGTGACTAAAGTGATGGATGGATGGATGGATGGATGGATGACTAAAGTGATGGATGGATGGATGGATGACTAAAGTGATTGATGGATGGATGACTAAAGTGATGGATGGATGGATGGATGGATGACTAGAGTGATGGATGGATGGGTGGATGACTAGAGTGATGGATGGATGGATGGATGGATGACTAAAGTGATGAATGGATGGATGGATGGATGGATGGATGGATGGATGGATGACTAAAGTGATGGATGGATGGATGGATGACTAGAGTGATAAATGGATGGATGGATGGATGACTAAAGTGATGAATGGATGGATGGATGGATGACTAAAGTGATGGATAGATGGATGGATGGATGGATGACTAAAGTGATGGATGGATGGATGGATGACTAAAGTGATGGATGGATGGATGGATGGATGGATTGATGGATGACTAAAGGGATGGATGGATGGATGGATGGATGGATGGATG